GCCTGAGGAGCAGAAGTAAAAGGTAATAATGGTCACTATGACTTGCCTCACCAAAGCATTTGGCAAAAATATACTCCAGCAACTAATACTTTTGGAACTTGAACCAATTCTACCTTAGGGGCTTTTAATTTTCAACACTTTTTTGCTTTTGTAGACTTAGTGGCCGATAAACCTTTTTTGGCCGATTTGGATGCTGATAAACAAAAAGATGTAGTTAAAACTGAAACTTGAAATATTGCTACCAAAGGGGAAATGTGACAACTGAAGTCTACTGATGAAAGTATGGGATTGGAGGATTTAGGTTTGAATATCAAAGATTATGGGACCAAGGTTAAACTCTACAAAACTGGTTCTGATAAGAGAAATTTTGCCGTTAGTAATGGAATAATTGGTTGATTAAAATTGGCCCAGGCCCTTCATTCTGATGATAATAAGAATAAATTACACAAGAATTTTACTGCTGATGAAACCAACGATCCTAATAAGTTGCTGCTAGCAGACTTACAAGCCATAGCTCCTAATGCCGACCCAAATGTTAATGATCATTTTATTTTTGACACTAACTTTGCTTTGCCCGAAAGTGAAGAAGAGATGCAATTAATTTGTGATGAATTGGAGGCGGCTAAGTTGGATAGCGTAATGGCGGGTCGATTATTACAAGAAAAGATTGACCAAATTGCCGATGAAAAACAAACTATTGTTGCTGATATAAAGGTTAAGGAAGGGGAAATTGAGGGTTTGATTGGGGAGATTTTAACTAAAAAACGAGAACGATTAACTGCTTATAATATCAGTAAAGGATTTGCTAAAACCACCGAGGATAATCGTCGCTCTTTATCAGATCTCTACCAAATCCAACAATTACTTTACGAGATTAGATATTTAGAAAATGATGGCGATGCTACTGCTAATAGTTCAATAACTGAGGAAAATACCGCTTTAACTGAAATAGAAACTATTTTAGAAGAAGCAGGTTATTATGGAGGAACAACCACTTATTTAGTGAGTTACTTCCAGAATTTGGCTTTTGTAGCTGGAGACCCAGAGAAATTTGACATCCCCCAAGCCATCAGTCGCATAAAAGCCGGTAAATATAAAGATAGTGAAGGCAAAGAACAGGATGTCCGCTTATTTGGTGACTTAACCAAGTTTAAAACTCATTTTGAAAATAAAGAAAAGTTGGTAAAACTAACTGAGTGGGAATTGGAAGCCAAACAGGCAATTGAAAAAGCCTTAAATCAGGATGATAACCAGCAGGAAAAATTAAGTGATTGACAAAGTAAACTCAAAACTTTGGACTCCACTTTGGATGACACAATAATTACCGACGCTTGAAAAACTAAATGAGGCCAAGTAAAAAAACACGGCAAAATTGCTGACGTGGAAAGGTTGATTAAAAAAGTCTTTGCAGATGGCAAAATCAAGTCTGAATTCTTGGAAGAAATCAAAAAGTCAGATGCTACTTTAGTAGATTTAAAATCCCTTCTCCAAAAAGAACCCAAAGACATTATTACTTATATTGCTCGTTTTGAATATAATCAACTACCTGACACGGGAGATGAAAAAAATAAACAAAAAACCCAGAAAAAAAGAAGAATTGCCAAAAAGTTGAGTAAAACTAATGAAAGCGAACTTAAAGATGAAGAATTAAACGAGAGTCTTTGTAAAATAGAAATAGGAGAATTAACTATTGACAATACTAAATATTACAAGGCGGATTTGAGTGAGATTACCACTAGCGAGCAAGAAGAACAAACCTTTTGAACTCGCTTCAAAACCCACATGGGAAATAATTGATACTGATACTTATTAGGAACAGTAGGAGGCGGTACTCTACTAGCACTAATTTTCTGAAAAAGGATTAATAGTTGATGAAATGGTCCAGCAGAAGAAGAAAGCACAACGGATAATACCGAGGAAGAACAAGAAAATGACCAAGAATAACATTATGAACCAAAAATGCCCTAAATGCGGAATAATAACTTATTTTGCTAATAAAAAACAACGCAATGAGATGTGGGTGGGAGTTTGTGTAGCCTGTGCTTTAACTAGCGGTAATTTTAAATTGCCCTCCTTACCCAAATGAAAGCAAAATTTAATTTTGGTTAAGCATGGTTTGAAAAGAGAGGGTGAAAGAATAGTAAAAGTTTATGAGTAAATTAATAAATTAAAAATTATGCCAATCAAGGACCCTATAAAAAATCGTGAATATAAAAGATTATGAATAGCCAAAAAGAGGCAAATAAAATCAGATGTAGAACCCCCGACTAAAAATGTCGAACCCTCAACCCCCCGAGGCCAAGCCTGATTCAAGTGCTATAAATGTCCCAATAAAATACTTTATCCCAAAAAATATGCTCCTGATTATATAAATTTTTCTCCCATTTGCCCGGATTGTTTACCACGCTAATGTATAGAATAGACCGTAACAATTATCACTTAAAACCTAAATATAGTAATATTCAAACCCCCTCAGAAGTCAGTCAATTTATTTTTAAACTATTGAGAGATAAAATTCCGCTAGGTAGTTTTATTTTTGACCCTTGCTGTGGCACGGGAAATTTATTAAAACCATGGAGAAATTTCCCCGGCAGGAATTATGCGACGTATGGAATGGACATTAATTACTACGACTCCGTGAATTATGTGCAAGACTTTTTAGCCTGAGACATGAAAAATGATTCCCGACATCGGATAAAACCCCAACTAATTCTCTGCAATCCCCCTTTTAATGGCATGAAACCTAAATTGGCTCCTGAGGTGTGATTGGATAAAATTATTGAGTTATTTGGTAAAGAAGTGCCAATAGTTTTATTTGTCCCGCCTGGATTTTGTTTAAATATGACTTTACAAAGCAAAAGATTAGAGAAATTCAATAGCGGTAAATATCCCCGAATTAGTTCCATTATCAGTCTACCAAAAAATATTTTCCCTGGTGTGATTTTTCACTCTGAAATTCTTATTTTCAATATTAAAGGATTAGAAGGGCATTATTTTTACCATGAACAAACATAATTGAACTTCAGTTACAATCTCCCCCAAAGTGCCAGTATGAGTTTGTCAAAATTGTCAAGGGGTAAAAGTCAAAGATTATAATGGACAATTTACTTATTTTTATCAAAATAGAATAAAACATTGTTAAGGGTTAGTATTTTACACCAGCAGGAGATTTTTTATTATGTTGTTTACTCCTGCCCCCGAAAGCAGTCTTTTTTCTTTTATTCTGCTTCTAAAAAATACCACCTATAATATGGCAAGACTGAAATCAAAAATACTTGTATTTTTTATTATACGAAGTATTAATTTTGTTATATTGTTCTTTTGGATAACGGCATAATTGACAGTCTTGCCTCCAATATGCTAACCCGTTCTGAATCGATACCTACAAAATTGATAAGTGGGTTAGCACCATGGTAAGTCGGAGGCGTCACACTCTGGCTTACCTCATGAGGCCCTTGGCTCCTTAAAACTAATATATAGGGTAAATTTAAGAATAGAATAATTGTGAACAATTATTTGTTTCCTTAGGTAAAAGAAAATTTTGACAGAATAAAGATATGGACAAACTAACAAAAATAAACAATAATGAACTAATGGAGGAGGTTCGAGCTAGAATTACGGCGAATTCTCTAAGTGAAAGGGAAATTAATAATTTAACTTTTGCTATCATCAAACAAACCGGAAAGTGTCTTCTTTGTAGCAAAATGGAAGTAATCAATAAGTTAATGGAATTAAGTGACGAAGAATTACAGAGATTTTTGGCAGTTAGAGGATCAGCAGAAGAAAATATTCGCTATTTAGCACTAAAACAAAGGGTAATTACCGATTACCAAGCCCGGGCTAGAAATAAAAAAACGCAAGCCGAACTAAAAGATTTAGGGGAAGCATCGCTGGAAGATGTATTTACCAAATTAGATAAAAAAAGTAAAAAATAAGAAAGGTCTATGTCTACATTCCCTAAAAAAGGAGAAATTTGATTATTGAAAAATGTTGGTAACATAAAAGAATTTTCGAAAGATTCCCGTCCAGTTTTAGTAATTAGTAATAATGAACGGAATGAATATGACGACTCAGCAGTGGCTTTGCCATTTTCTACGGAAGATATTGAAAATATTAAAACTTTTGAGGTTTTTATCGCCAATACTCCGGAAACTGGCTTAGATTATCCCAGCAAAATTATTTGTGATTCTCCTTTTACCTTGAATAAAGAAATGCGTTTTAAAAAGAAAATAGGAGTAGTAAGCCCAGAAATAATGGAAAAAGTAAAAGTTGCTTGGTGAATGGCTTTTTATTGAGATTAATTGAAGCAAAAAGATGCAAAATTTCCAATATGTCCCAAACTAAAAAATGTGTCCAATGTGACCAATTAATTTCCCCTCAAAGAATGAAAGATGGTCCCGGAGTTAAAACCTGTTCCCGCCTTTGTTTTCAAATCTGATTTAAGGAAAGAATGAGAGTTTACTCAAGAAAATATTACCAAAAAAAAAAAGAAAAAGAACTTTTTAGAAAACACAACCACCAGTGTGGAGAAAAGTGCCTCCCGTGTGTTAGAATAATAGGCTGAGAGGAAAAAGATGAAACCTGTAAGAAGATAATGAAAGCCAGTCCAGGTTGTAATTTTTGTGAAAAATGTATACAAAGACCGGAAAAAGTTAAATATTATGAGGAGAATGAGTGAGTTTATATATGAAATGAATAATCTTGATTATTCTAGGAGACAAAATGACAAGTAAAAAAATCAAAGGGGCTTATTTTGTTAGAACAAAATGCTCTGATATAAGTATGAAAAATATCAGTAAACTTCCCAATTAGTTAAAACTAATTTTGTTTGTAGCTGCCCCTTTGATATTGTTATTTTACTATGAACACCATCACCATTCTTCCATTACAAATAGAATTATTATGTTAACACAAAAGGTTAATCATAGTAAAGGCTTTATGCCGAGAGGTTAGGCATCCTCTAATCTGCCTATTTTGAGTATTGTAATACATTAAATTTTACTAATATGACAGAACAAGAATTAAAGCAACAAATCACCCAATTAAAAAGACAAGTATATATTTTAAGTTCTAAATTTAGACAATGTGAGAAGCATGATGAGGATAAGGAGTATACTCAAAGATATTTAGAAAGTAAAACTGAGTGTTTTGATTGTGCGGGGGAGAAGTTGATTGCTAAAGAAACTACTCAACATGCCTAAAAAAGATAAAATACACGAAGGAACAAGCATTCCCGAAAGGCAATTATCGCAAAAAGAAGCCAAGGAAGAAACCACTCCTCGCAACCTCTACCAAAAACTCCAACTAATCCAAAGTCAAATAGGTCAGTTAGAAAAAACCCGAGAAAATAAATTCCAAAAATACTTCTATGCAGGTGAATATGACCTATTAAAAGTAATTAAACCTTGATTGGCTAATCAAAGATTAGTTTTAATTTTTAGTGACCAAATTAGCCCAGAAACTCCTCTCGTTCGTGAAAGACTAGAAAAAGAATGACTAGTCCAATATTTAAAAAAAGCCGAATTAATAAATGCTGATAACTCTGAAGAAAAACTAACTTATTACTTCTGAACCATGGCTACTAATACTGACTTGGCTAAGGCTAAAGGGAGTGCGGAGACTTATGCTGTGAAATATTTTTTACAGAAGTTTTTTTTACTTCCCGTGGATAGTAATTTGGATCCGGATGCTTTTGATGGTTCGCCTATGATTAAAGAGAAGGAAGAAACAAAATTGCCTCCTCGTCAGACTATTACTACTCAGCAAGTAGAAAGTTTGATTAATTTGTTCAGGAGTAAGACTGCTGATAATAAAGAGAGGCAAACTAGGTTCTTGGAGGAGTTGGATAAAGTGTTGGAGAAAAAAGGAATAAAAGAGAAGACTACTAGTGGGAATTTTAGAGAGAGGTTGCAGAGTTTGTGGCCTGTGGATTATCAGTGGTTGTATAATTGATTGTTGAAAGAAGAAAATAAGTAAATGAGTTTTAAGAAACCGATTAGCACTCGCACTAAATATTGAAAAAAAATGAATCATCTCTGTTGCCAACTAAAAAAAGAATATTTAATTGCTACTTATAAGATTTTTCAGGAAGGGGAAAAAGGAGGAGTTTACTCCGAGTTTTCCCAAATCTCTGCTTGTAAATCCCCTTTTATAACTGAAGTAACTCGTAAATCTTACTACTTAGACCAGCAATATATGATTTTGAAAAAGAAGGTTTGTCCTGCTTGTAGAACTTTTTGAAAAGAACTAAAAGAAGCATTTGAAAAAATTTATGACTCGTAATTTCTGATTTGCCCTAGTATTTTTTGTTTTTTTAGTAATAGTTGCTTTATGAAAGTTTTGGGCTTGATTATTGTGGAAAATATTAAGATTAAGAAAAAAAGAACAGGTTTTTTCTTTACTTTCTAAGCATAGATTTATAGAGATTACAGGTGCGGGTGGGAAAGGTAAATCTTGACTTTTAAGTCATCTTTTTAAACATCTAAATGGAGTAAAGTTTACTAATTTTCCTACTCCTCAATCTACTTTTACTTTGTCTAAGGAAACCCTAGAAATCCATATCTCAGGTAAGTGAGGAGCACCTCATAAGTTTTATTACTTTTTGGATGATTTATCTGCTTTTGAAAAGTGAAGTTGGAAGGAGTTTGGGTATAGTGCTTT